AACATCCACCAGCTACGTGATGTCGTCATGGGGGAGGGGAAGAGGACTTCCCCATTTTACAGTATCTCAAGACGTCCGCTGCCTTGCTATAGAAGCCGAGGGTAAAGGTGATGGACTGGCCAAGCATGTCTCCAGACCTAAACCCTATTCACCATCTGTGGGGCGTCCTCACACGGAAGGTGGAGGCGCGCAAGGTCTCTAACATCCACCAGCTCCGTGATGTCGTCATGGGGGAGGGGAAGAGGACTCCGGTGGCCACCTGTAAAGCTCTGGTGAACTCCATGCCCAAGAGGGTTAAGGCTGTGCTGGAAAATAATGGCGGCCACACATAATATTGACACTTTGGGCCCAATTATGGACATTTTCACTTAGGGGTGTACTCCCTCTGGGGGTCCCTAGGTAACATTAGGGATCTTAGAGATCCCTGATGTCTCCCTAAAGAGGACCTGTCATGTAAAGTGGCTATCGCATAGTGGGCTTCTTAGCCCCCCATGTGATAGCAATAAAGTTGTTTGTAAAAAAAAAAAAAAAAGTAATACAAAAATTAAAGAATCAAAAAAAATAAAGAATCATAAAAAAATGTAAAAAGAATTTTAGGTCCCCGCACCCCCACATACACACGCATATATGCGTCGGGTGCGCCTACGCGGGAAAACGACGATTGCGCCCATTGTTGCCGCACATGTTACATATGACCGCGAAAGTCGGAGAGCAATAATTTTAGAGCCATTAATCACGGATAACACTAAACTGATGAGCAGTAAAAGCGTTTTTAATCGTCGCCTATGGGCGTTTTCCGCGATTTTGCGGGGGCGCACGCAATTTTAAGGCTTGACATGTTCGGTGTCTATTTACTTGGCGTGACCCCGACTTTTATATTTTACTAGAAATATGGGTAAGAATAAATGTTTTATAACATAACGTAGGGAAACTTTGTGTTTTTTTTTTTTTTACATTTATGGTTCTTTTTTCATTATATAGTAAAAAAAAAAATAACACCCCTCCCCCAGTGGTGATAATATACCTCCAAAAGAAAGCTCTTTTTGTCCCCATAAAATGTTAACATAAACTGCAGGGCGATAGTCCGGTCATGCTGACTGGTGACATTTTTGACTGACTGGTGAGACGCCATCAAATTTTTCAAGCCCTGCTGATATACAAGCTGTACACTCACTACGTTACATTGTAGCCAAGTGTCATTTCTTCTGTGTCGTCACATGACACGATATCATCCAATGAGTACTCACTTCTGGGAGATACTGTATGTAAAATATCAGTCCGGACAGTTTGTTGTGTTCCTGAAGATCCTCTGGGCCACCGTCATCCTGACTTGTTGACCTCACCAATTTATTTCAACTTACTTAGGTCGCTGGCCAGTGATGTAAGAGGAGGCGGGGTTGCTCTTAGGCGGGCCCCGCCTCCTTCTTCACTGCGGCGGTCCGAGAACTCGATCGAACACCGGTGTAACCGGCCTCTTCTGCCGCAGCTGCTGGCTGTCACGGACACAGCCGCTGCGGAGCTGTGTCAGTGACAGCCAGCTCCCTGATATGCCATAGCGACCCAGGCGGCCCACACGGCATCAGAGGGATGCCCTGGTCGGGCCCCCCTGTTCCCGGGTCCCATAGCGGCCGCCTGGGTCGCTATGGCGGTTGTTACGCCACTGCATGCATACACACACTGAACCATCCCAGATACTCATATGACTTATTATTAATATTATACAGCGCCAACATTATGTGTAGAGCTGTACAATATAAGGAAGTAATCACAATACAATTCAAGACAAGATGGTAAGGAGGGCCCTGCCCCTGAGGGCTTACAATCTAAAAAGGGAGGGGCCAGTGATACATGAGGAGGTAGCTGTGTGGGGATGAATTGTTTGAGAACGTGATGGTTGAACGGTTAGGTTGAGGTGAGATAGGCTTCCATGAAGAGACGAGTCTTTAGGGGTCTCATCTAGGTTCTCATCTTTAGGGATGCCTAGACAGGTACATCTAGGCAGCCCTAAAGGCATTGTTATGGGGATCACCTAAAGGGAAATAGCCGGACAGGGTGGGGTAGGGCATTCCAAAGGATGGGAGTGACTCTAGAGAAGTCCTGGAGGCGAGTATGGGAGGAGTTGACGTGGGAGCTAGCGAGCAGGAGGTCTTTGGAAGAGCGGAGGGGACAGTTAGGGTGATACTTTGAGACAAGGTTGGAGATATAACCGGGGGGCAGAGTTGTGGATCACTTTGTAAGTGGTTGTTAATATTTAGAATTTTATCCTTTGGGTGATTGGAGGCCAGTGGAGTGATTGGCAGAGGGGAGTTGCAGACACTGAGTGGTTGGTTAGGTGGATGGATGGGTGAAGGATTCAAGATCCACCAGGTTTGGGTTATGGATGATAGCCAATGTCAACATTATTCAAATCCTCATTACACCTGGAAGAGAAGTGTTCATTCTGGGTTTGAATGGCCTCCTCCGAACACGAAGTGCTGTGGTCCGCCCACTTTTTCAGCTGAGGGCTGGGGCATTCCATGTCTCGTAGCTACACATAAACAACGGGGTGGGA